TATGTTGTTTACTTTTTTTATCGTGGTACGCCAGAAATTTCGGCACTTTTTCACTCGAAAATATTCACATTTCTGTCGATTAAGGTCCCAGTCCAGCTCATAACATTATACGGTAAGTAATTATTTTTCAAATTTCAATTTATTTCTCAAGTTTTTTCTAATTTTGTTGAAGGCATGAGTAAAGGTGGATTCATGGAAGCAAAATTTAAAACTTAAATGAATTTTAAACTTAAACCAATACGTAATATAAAACTATGAAATGTAATGTAGGTGCTCATGCAAGAAACTAAAAAATCAAAACTAAAATTAAAACTAAGAAAGATGGCCAACATTCAACTAAGAAATTAATTTCTTCCATAATTCAGGACAACGCATGCGCCAAATAATAACTAGCCGCGCTGGAAAAAGAATAAACAGCTGATGAAAGGTTATTGCATGAACACCCATATATTTTTAATTTAAAATTCGTTTAAATCTTAAATTCATTATAATTCAGTTGATGTTGCATGAATCCACCTTAAATACGTTTTATAACCTATAAATTCCCATTTGTTCGTTAAGTTTGCACCTTGCCTTGACCTATTAGGAAGGTGGGGCGTTTTTCACCAGTGATTGGGAAAAACGCCCCAGTAGTAACGGTATAAAACGCCCCATCAACTATTATAACTTTCAATGACACCTAAATGATAAATAATATTTTTATCTTCAGAATATGGGGAAGAAATATGTCCGCAAGACTACACGGGCTTCATTTAGTTAAGATTCTTTGGCAGAGGCTATGGGAAAAGTTATATCCAGAGAAATGGGTGTAAATGAAGTAGACACTTTTTCCAAATTTTTGAGAAAAGATTATCTCATTTCCTCGATTCCTCACCAAATTGGTAAAAGAAAACAACACGCATTAGAGCTAACGTCTCCTGAAAATGTTGCCAAAAGGCAAGTTTTTTCAGGCAATAAGAAAGCCATCGACGAGAAAAAAGGAATGAAGAAAAAAGCAAAAATATCCAATGATAAAGGCAGTGTCAAATCTATAAAATCTGAATCACGTATTTCAAGTTCTTCAAGCTCCGAAAGTGAACCCATTCTGAGCTCTTATGATGAAATGTCGGATGATACTGAAAACTTTTGTGTCGAATATATAGCGAATACTATTTTACTGCGAAGTCAAAAGTTGACTGGATTAAATGTCCTCAGTGTAGTAGTTGGCTACACGAGACTTGCGGGAGTCACTTAACCACATGCCAATAAAACACTCAAAAATGTATATTTTTTTAAGTGGGGCGTATTTAACGACTATAAGGGGGAAAACGCCCCATCGTATTTTTTTTCAATATAAATCTTTCGGAAAACTATGTTACTGTTTTGTCAAAATGTGTTCAGCATAATGAAATATACCGTTTAGCTATAATATGTTTATGGAACTGAAATGAAAGATAAGTTTGTATTCTTGTGCAAATATTTTTTTTTTTCAAAATGTGGGCGTATTTCACTGGTTTACCCTATCATAAGTACAGAGGTAACTACATTCATTACTCATTTGTAAAATTGATTTGAACAAAACGTGCCGAAATATCATGCAAGTTATAAGTGTATGTGATTGACTGAATATTAATGGTAATATAGGTGATTATAATAAAAAATAAGTGTCAAAATATTTTTCGGTATATTATGAAATGTTTCAGTGGATCAGTAGACTGAAGTGACTGTATCCAATTTAGCAAACAAAGGGTCGCAGGTAGATGCACTATCGAGCAAAATTATAAAGAGTAGCTTTGACGTAATTGGACATGTGTGGTGTCATTTTGTAAATACCCCTTTACAAAATGGTAGTTTTCCAGATAATTCAAAAACTAGTACAGTTACGCCTATCGAAAAAGTTTCTAACACAAACAAATCTGATGAATATCGTCCAATTAATACGTTACCCTGTGCTGAAAAATTGTTGGAATTAGTAGTTTATCAACAGTTGCTGGAATATTTTAATAAAAAAAATATACTCTTCACCAACCAATCTGGTTTTAGATCCAACCATTCATGCGAATCCGCACTTCAGCTTACTGTCACTGAATGGAAAGGTAAAATGAGTAAAGGCATGTACACTGTAGCAGTATTTTTAGATCTGAAACGTGCGTTTGAAACTGTTAATCGTGAAATATTAATCAAAAAATTAAAAAAATATGGCATAAAAGGAAAAGTACTTGAGTGGATCAGTGATTACCTCACAGGTAGGAAACAGGTAACCAAAATTAATGATTATGTTTCAACAGCAATCGGTGTAGACCATGGCGTTCCCCAGGGAAGTATTCTAGGGCCATTGTTATTCTTAATCTACATTAATGATATCAACAAATGTAGTGAATGTGATTATGAACATTATTTTGCTGATGATGCTCTAGCATCGGTAAGTGATAAAGATCTAAATAAAGCTATCCAAAAAATGAATAAAGCCTTAAACAATATTTCTACATATTTAAAAACTAATAAATTAAAACTAAATGTTAACAAAACAAAGGCCATGATACTTACTACACCTTTTAAATACAGAGCATTAGATTTAAAGCAAATTGAAATAAAAATTGATAATGACAAAATTGAGTTTGTTACTGAATTTAAATATTTAGGATTTATTTTAGACAACCATTTATCACTGAATAGCCATTTTAATTACTTACATACAGAAATTTTTTTTTAAGAAATTGTATTTTTTGCCAATAGTGTCTCAGCACTTAACTATGCAGTCACGAATAACAGTGTATAAGACTATTATACAACCACATTTCGAATATTGTCCTACTCTTTTTTACACATCTGATTTAAATAAAATGAGAACATTACAGAAATTACAGAATCGAGCAATGAGGATTATTTTGAGATGTGACAGGAGTACCCCGATATCTTTAATGCTAGATACTCTAGAATGGTTATCTATAGAAAGCAGGCTTACATATTTAACGATGATATATATTTACAAAATGTTACATAATCTTCTACCTTCATATTTTGACAAATTTGTAATTTTTAATAATCAAATTCATCAGTATAATACTAGAATAAGAAATGATTTGTACGTAAATAATCAAACAAGATCATTTAATACTAAAACATTAACCTTTAAAGGATTTATTACTTATAACAGTCTACCTGAAGATGTAAAGTCTTCTACCAAACTTACTCAAAAAAGAATTATTAAGCCATTTAAGAGACCATTAGGATAATACCAAATTGTTAGTTATTATTATGTATTTTTTGTATGTTAATAATGTAGTTAGTACTTAAAAACAAATATTGTAGATATTTTTTTTTATTGTGTTGATATTAATTTTTAACATTTATCTTTGCTGCATATTAGGATGTACCTATTTCAAATAAAGTTATCTTATCTATCTATCAATATGCAAATCAGGAGATCTACTGAAAAAAAAATAATATAACATTTGTCTCAGAATCTGAGAATGTGAGAACACCATAACAGGGTGAAAATATAATTTTCAGGGTACAGAAACGTTTCAGCAGGGCCTAATTTTGGTGAGATTTAGGAGAGATAGAGATAGATAGAGTAGCGCCAGTCTATTATGAAGATTATTCAGATAATATACAGTATGATGCAAATGTATGGAATAAATTCATTATTTCAGAAATGGGCGACATTTGAAAAAATTCCAAAAACACGTGAGTTTTAATTTCTGAAGCCTCATCTCATGATATTCATATGAGAGATGTTACGTCACCGGTGTTGGAGTAAAGACGTAATGGACGATTTTTTCAAATATAAATAGGCGGGGTCATGTGACACCTTGATTGAAAGGTCTACCGATCGTTTATTCAACAGTCAAAATCTTGCATAAGAAGATTGAAATTAAAATGGATTATCATGTGATTAATTGAATCTTGCAGAGGTCTGCTACTGAGAATTGAACATGGAAGGGTCGTCTATAGTTAAAAAAATACGTCGAAAAAAAAGTTCTGAACTCTAGTTTTTGTTTTTTTTTCGAAAGTCGTCTTGTATTGAAATGAATTTATTCCATACATTTGCATCATACTGTGTAAATACCAGTAGGTATAGGTACTACAAGAATATTATCTTCTAAAAATTACTTTGACCTGGAAATTATTTTCGATTAGATACATCGCTCTTGAAATACTGCTTGCTAATCATGACAACCTGTAGATATAGCAAAATATCGTATTCGCATACTGAACAGTTTAAATTCCATACCTAGTAGACAAAATGACATTTTAATCAATTGAATATTCCCAAATTGTGTACAATATAAAGCATGAAGAGACAAATTTTTAATACTGATTCCAGTGATTCCTCCTCCTTTATTGTTATGAAGTATTATTGATTAGCAGTGCTGCCAACTCAGTTTTTGAGAAATTGGGAGACAAGCGATAATTATGTCGGGAGATTCGATCTCGAAATCAGGAGATTACTCTTTAAGGGAAATCCACTTTGAAATGAACTGTTTTCAAAATTTATGTTGTATGATTTGTTATAATAGTAAGAGGTGTATCCAAACTATATGGATTCCTATTCCGAAGTGAAGTTCTCATGAAAGTCTAGGCCAGGATGCACGGCTATTTTGATTGTGAAAAATTGAAATAAATAAATGTTGAATTCATCATATATTGATAATGGAATAAAATGAAACTTCAACAACAATAAATAAAAATTAATATCCAATATCCATTCTTTCAATATCTGACTACAGGAACAAGAAACACCTCCAAAATCAAGAGATTTCAACTATTCAACTGAAAATCGGTAGATTCGCTATGATTTCCTCTGAATATCGGTAGATTATCCATGATCTCCCTGAATATCAGTACATTTCGACAGCGAATCGTTAGTCGGCAGAAAATTCAGAAAATCAATCTCCCGATATATCGGAGTGGTTGGCAGCACTGTTCATTAGGTATTAAATAATATATGTGAAATGTGGGTAGGTGAAGATTTTCTTTCTTCATTGTCAATCAAAGGGACGATAATGAAAACTTACCTCTTTGGTGCAGATCCAGAGAAATCCGTACTAGAGTTTGTTACTATGCTAACTTCCGACTTCCCCTTGAATGTTCGACTGAAAAAAATATTGATTTCTATCAGGGAAGCCTCATTCATGGAACTCACATATACAAGGTTACTGGTAATTCTATACATTATACAAAAGTTAATAGTTTTCGAGATATATTTGAATTTTTCTGTTGTTCTCCAAAAGGTACACTTTAATGGTTCGAAAAAAAGTTTCCCGAAAATCTGCTCAACATTTTTTCAACCTTCCAACTAAAATACATAATCAACACCATGGTCTTATGTTTCAAATGAGAAAAATCCAGAAATAGTTTTGGATTATAGATAAATTGTAAATACAGTAAATGTAAATAGGTCGTATTCTTGTTTTTGAATAATTAGGTAAACACATGAACAGAAAAATGTTAATATGTCAAAAAAAATAACTTTCGCAAAATGCATATAATGGTTAAATTAACTCCCTACCAGCTTCCCTATCACATCTCCATAGGAATTTATCGAATTACCAATAACCCTGTATAGAAGACACTATTCATATCATTGTACAGATAACAAAATGCCCATAATTGTGGAAATTGCTTACACTACAACTTTTTTCTTCATGATATTCAGGTACAAGTTGTTATTATTTTTATTCCTCTTTATTGATGCAGGGATATATTTTCTTCGGAGTTCTATTTTTCTTTTGAAGGAAGCCATCTCAAAAAGTCAATCATAATAAGGATCGAATACCGCGATCGACTGAACAGATTACCTACTGATGTGAGTAGGTACAACAAAACTAAACTGCTACGCAATTGGAGTGGGACCCTAAAAGTGTTCGCTCAACTTTGTAAGATCCGGAAAAATCTACACTATCTAAACATCCTATTATTACCATTCCGCACAAAACTGGTTTTCACGTTTTTCTCCCTAGGTACTTTTATGTAGTCTGATTAGGTATACCTCAAGAGTATGTTCCTTAATTTTTCTTCAATTGATTTTGAAAACATACAGTGCCCGTCTAAGGTCCGTTTTCTCCCCTACTAATTTTTGAATCACCTGCTATATCGCGAAGGTATGCGAAGGGCTCGAAGAAGACTGAAGAGATGGAAACCTAATTTTTAATGAAAAAATGACAGCTTAAGTTTTGGACTGGCAACTGACCGCCATCTTGAAATATTTTTGCAAATGTACAACCCCGTATATTATTCCATTTTCAAAATCTCCTCACAATTCTCAACAGTTTCGAGTAATAATACACCCCACTCCGATTTAATTTCCGAAAGTGACATTTCAGTCATTTCAAACCCAACCAAAAACTTTATTTTCGCTTTTTCAATCAAGTTGAATTTGACAGTAAACAAAGTTATCGCGACAATGACTTTTTTCAAAGTAAACCTGATTGAAAGCAACAATCGAGTTTTTTCAAGCCGAGCTGTATTATATAGTTTCCGAGATACTTCATTAGGTTCGAGTAAAATAAGTGAGAAAGTCAAAAAGACACTATCAAAACTTTCTGAGGTAAATTGATTTACAATTTCAGTTTCCTTTTTTTCGAAATAATACAATCTCATTAACATTTCATAGTGCGATCTACCTTCCTGCGATGACGTCATGATCTTCTTTTTTGAATAGGACACCTCATTTCAGTTACAGGATTCCTTTTGCTCGACTGATTTCAAAACAGTATCACAACGTTACTTCAAATTGGCACAAGGTTGGCAAAATACGAAAGTTTTTCATGAAAACTTATATACATTATACTAAGTTTCGTAGATTTTTCTTAATTATTAGTTCCAGAGGGATTTCAGCATCGAGGAAAATAGTGATAGCCTTCTGTACCGTGGTCAATACTGATGAAAATTTTTGAAGCCGATCAATTTTCGATTTCAGTTTACTAATTTGAAGAAATATATATAGACAAGATATAGATATAAAGAATTGATTCATTGAGGTACATTTTTCGACCCTTCTTCCAAACACCAGGACGTTAACGTAAATAACCCTCGAGAATAGTTATTTATATACCAAGGACGAAACACTGTCTATCATATTCCAGTCTGAAAATTGATAGGCGAGGCCTGAGCCAGGCTATCAATCAGGAGAGACAATAGACATTTTTTCGCCGAAGTGCATATCACATGCTTTCGTCGACCTCAAACACTTATATTCACATCACGGTCCCATTCACACGCGAAATCTATCGAATTAATTTGACAACAGCAAATGACAGTATGTTGTCAACTCACTCTCTGCGCGGACCATCAGGGTTGTCAGTTCCAGTAGATTTCAATAGATCTGTTTAAGATTTAGTTTATGCCATACGAATTCCAAGAAAGATATATACTTTTAGTAATCAGAAAAGTAACCGTTTTCCAATGAGATAAAAACAAACATAACAGACAGTCTCATGAAAAAATAATTATATTTCTAATTCTCAATTCATACTCACAAATATCACAAAATACAGTTAGGTACATAGGTACTTATAAGATTTGAGTATGTTAAAAAATGAAAGAATTGTGAAAATGAACAACAAAAATACAAAACAAATAAAAAAATGTAACGTAGGAAATAATCTGTTATAACAGATCTATGTAAAAAATTGAATTTGATCTGAATCAGATGAAGTATTGTCCTATTTTGGTTTATACATATCATTTGTAGATATAGATGAATGTATTACTTATTTTGTGAGATTAATTTGGACAGAGCGAGCGGAAATATCATGCAATTTATTAGTGTATGTGATTGACTGAAAATCAATAATAATATAGGTAATTCTCGAGGAAATTATATTAATAACTAATTGTCAAAATATTTTTCAAGAGATCATGAAATGTTTCAGTAGATTAGTAGATCAATATGCAAATCAGGAGATTTACTGAAAATTCAGTAAAACTCGCAACCCTGCAGCGGACGAAAATTATTTGCGGACGGAAAGTTTGTGTCTGCAGACGAAAAGTACTTGCCTTCGGAAATAGTCGGTTTTTCCTTCGGAAATGTTATTTCCTGTACAGGTCGACGAAAAATTATATTTCTTGATGAATGTTGGAAAAATTATTTCTGTTATGTAGTTCCACGGTTGATAAGTGATTCGATTTTTGGGATAAAATAATGGCCAGCTTTAGCTCTCAAGGCTCGAATTGAAAAAAAAAACTATTGTTGAATTTGTCAGTCGGATCACTGGAAACATGACTGGTGCATCTGTACCAATTCGCATAATTCACAAAAAGACAAGAAATACTTAATATATGAAAATTCTCAAGGAAAATACGATACATTTTCATCCCACAATTCATATGACACACTATATAGAATGAGCTACTGAAATCCTGCTGGAATTAAAATTGATTAATTTTTACAAAGCTCTATACAGGTTGTTTCAAGATGTTCAAAATGCAGTATCAAGGTTTCAGTGACTGCTTTCTCAGGTCAAACTGAGACTTATTTTTTTTATAAGTATGTGTTCGCAAATGCTTCGTTATACCACCGACATACCTAGAGTTGAAGTAAGATGTTTTATTTTCCAACATCTTTTATAAAAAGTCAAGGTTCGTTTGGTGAATTTTTCTTCAGGTTATGTTTGGAAACTTGTAATTATAGTCACAAACTGAATATTGTGCAGCGTTTTTTGCGCAGGTGCGTAAAAGTCACAAGTGTCAAGAAATTTCACAATCGATACGGAAAACTCATTTCGTATCTCAATATTTATCAGTGGCGCACCAAAAAATACATATTACTTCAACTCAGGTATGTCGGTGGCATAACGAAGCGCTGGGGATACATTTCAATGGAAAAAAATCTTATTTTCATCTGAAAAATAAGCACCTAAAATCTTGATACTGAATTTTCAAAACATCCGTATGGTGGATATTATGTATAAAACCTTTACAAAATGTAGATGTCCCATTTCAATTGCTAGGCAGCTTAGATGTGAACGACTATTCATCAATAAATCTAGAAATTCTAGATACTAAAAACAATAACCTTCAAAATTATCATCTTCCTTCCCGTGCACCGTAGAGTTATCACAAAAAAACAGTAAAAAATATAACGAAACTAGTTTACGACAGTGTGATCTTTTCAAACTCTACTAGCAGTAATCGTCCTCATTGTGGAATACATTGAAAATGGAAACTAATGAAACGTGAACAAATCGAAATATTATCGCTCAAAATTCGATGTCTTGAAAGAATGAGCATGCATCATCTTATTCATGTAGTAAGCAATTTGGATTCCAATCGAAGAAGAATACTCATGACGCCATATTCTCATTCCTATATGAAGTTTACAATAACATCAACAGTCGAGAAGTAGTAGCAGCTGTATTTTGTGATTTCTCCAAAGCATTCGATTGCGTAAATCACGAAATACTGCTTAATAAACTTCGCCACTATGGTATCCATGAGAACACTCACAAATGGTTCAAATCATACATAACAGGTAGAAGCCAAATTGTTAAAACTACTACTCAGTCGGATGTAGCTGAAATCGATACTGGAGTACCTCAAGGATCAGTACTGGGACCGATGCTTTTTTTGTTATACATTAATGATCTGACATCTATTGATATAAAAGGAAGATTCACTCTATTCGCGGACGATACTACAATACTATGGCGTGCAAATAATGCAAGCGATCTTCATAATTCCATTTGTTCAGACATTCAAAAGATCAAAGAGTGGTGTGATTGTAATCTTTTATCATTCAATATATCCAAAACCAATGTAGTATCCTTCCGTTGTAGTATAGACGACATACCTTTAGGCACGAATGACAGTGTGATCACGAACAAAATATGCACAAAATTTCTTGGGGTATCAATAGACAATAAACTGAAATTCGAAGACCATATTGCAACGCTCAATAAAAAACTGTCTTCCGGTTGTTATGCTGTTAGGATAACCTCTAGTGAACTAGGATCTTCTGCAGCAAAAACTGTATATTTTTCATTGATAGAATCACACTTGAGATATGGAATACCTTTCTGGGGAGTTTGTGCTGATACTCATTTGAAGCCAGTTTTTATTTTACAAAAGAGAGCGATAAGATACTTAAATAAGGTCAAACCACGAGTCTCTTGCAAACCTTTATTCATTAAAGATAAAATCCTGACGCTTTATGCCATTTTCATATTAGAAACGGTTTGCCTTATCAATAAACATAAAAAGACATTTTCGAGTTCAAATTCTCATTATATTACCCGCCAAACAAATCACCTCAAACTGCCTATACCCACCTCAACCCTCGTTAAGGACTCAGTCATATACAATGGTCTAAAAATGTATAATCACCTACCAAATTATCTGAAAACCACGGATAATGCTCATTTCAGAAAGGCCGTGAAAGAATTCCTCAGTGAAAGACCGTATTATAGTCTGCAAGAATTTTTTGGAGAATGTTTTTAATCTGTGATATTGATGATGTATCTTTTATTTTATTTTCTTCACTGTGATAATAATTATAATTTTTATTGTGTATATGGATGTGTGACAATGTGTTTAAAAAAATACATAGATATTATATATTTGTAGTTTTAGGAAATTGTAACTTTGTCAATAAGATATTATACTCTTTGGACAATAAAGCATATCAATCAATCAAAATCAATCAATGATGGATGAATGTCTTCAAACAGTTCATTTCACCTTGCAATCACAAACATTGATGGGACCATTTGAAAATTAGTTTTCATCTCATATCTCAATTATATGTTGACGTATACCCCAATCAAACACATTATCTTTGAATACACATAAAAAATCTCTCACCATGAATTGAATTATATTAAGGGTGGATTCACCTAATTCAAGAGGTTCATATAGTATTAAGAATGTTATTGAGCTGGAATGTAGCATCCTATATATAGTTATATAATTCGAATATTATATATTAGTATTACCTAGAATTCTCCTGCAATATTTCTTCCTCTGGTTCCTCGCCCATAGCATCTGAAATTTAAAAGTTGAATTCACTTTATTGTTACCTTCTATCATTGTTACCTCATCATTGAATAGGAATATTCCCAGATATATAATGAACATGAAATGACGGATGGGTACATATGCAATACATTGAGAATTCGCATTTTCTATCTCATGAAAACATGAATTCTTTCTCAGTAGGTACCTTCCTGGCTTTTTGCCACGACGAACATTGAATTATATCTTTTGAACAAACAATGAGAATTTGGAATAAAATCTTCTGAAGTTGAGAATTTGAGTTTTGAATTTCTCTATCAGATAAAATTATATAATTATGTAGGTATATAATATCATTCGGCATGTTCAACAGAAAACAACTTCTTTCTTATTTGCCTCGTCAGACATTAAATTACATTTGTTGAACACCCGATATGAGGAATCAGTGTGAAACCAGCCACGAGTTCTATCCACGACTTCGCCTAATATTCAATGGTCGTTCATTATCAATTTATATTCATGGCTGGCCATGAAATTACTTCAACCTCCAAAATATGTCCATGGATAAAACTATTTTACATCAATGAATTCCTCTGAGGGTCTATGATAATATGTATATCTCACAATATTTTGTCGGGCAAGAATTAACCCCACAGGCCCCCTTTTTCGGGATTTCTTAAAAAAGTCATAACTTTTTCAAAATACACGTGGATGGGAGTTCTTTCGTATGAATGTGTTCCTCTGGTAGTACACGATAATATGTATATCTCACAATATTTTGTCGGGCAAGAATTAATCCCACAGGCCCCCTTTTTCGGAAATTCGAAAAAAATTCATAACTTTCTCAAAATACACGTGGATGGGAGTTTTTTTCTATAAATGTGTTCCTCTGATAGTACTCAATAATATGTATATATCACAATATTTTGTCGGGCAAGAATTTACCCCACAGGCCCCCTTTTTCGGAATTTCGAAAAAAAATCATAACTTTTTCAAAATACACGTGGATGGGAGTTTTTTTCTATAGATGTGTTTCTCTGATAGTACTCAATGATATGTATATCTCACAATATTTTGTCGGGCAAGAATATACCCCACAGGCCCCCTTTTTCGGAATTTCGAAAAACAATCATAACTTTTTCAAAATACAAGTGGATGGGAGTTTTCTTCTATGAATGTATTCCTCTGATGGTACTCAATAATATGTATATCTCACAATATTTTGTCGGGCAAGAATATACCCCACAGGCCCCCTTTTTCGGAATTTCGAAAAACAATCATAACTTTTTCAAAATACCCGTGGACGGGAGTTTCTTTCTATGAATGTGTTCCTCTGATAGTACTCAATAATATGTATATCTCACAATATTTTGTCGGGCAAGAATTTACCCCACAGGCCCCCTTTTTCGGAATTTCGACAAAAAATCATAACTTTTTCAAAATACACGTGGATGGGAGTTTTTTTCTATGAATGTATTCCTCTAATGGTACTCAATGATATGTATATCTCACAATATTTTGTCGGGCAAGAATCAACCTCACAGGCCCCCCTTTTTCGGAATTTCGAAAAAAAATCATAACTTTTTCAATATACACGTAGATTGGAGTTTTTTTCTATAAATGTATTCCTCTGATGGTACTCAACAATATGTTTATCTCACAATATTTTGTCGGGCAAGAATTAACCCCACAGGCCCCATTTTTCGGAATTTCGAAAAAAAATCATAACTTTTTCAAAATACACGTGGATGGGAGTATTTTTCTATAAATGTATTCCTCTGATGGTACTCAACAATATGTTTATCTCACAATATTTTGTCGGGCAAGAATTAACCCAACAGGCCCCCTTTTTCGGAAATTCGAAAAAAATTCATAACTTTTTCAAAATACACGTGAATGGGAGTTCTTTCTAAGAATGGGTTCCTCCGATGGTACTTGATGATGTATATATTCTATATGATATAGATATATAAAGCATATTCATATATTTGATATATAGATAATATATAAATATAGGTGTTTCTATTTGAGAAAAGGAAGTTGACATTAATAACTTCTATATGGACTATCGTGTATTCATGAATGAACCATCAAAGAACCGCATCAAGTAATAAAATTATTTTGTAACTAAAAATAATAATAATCCCATCCACGTGTATTTTGAAAAATTTATGATTTTTTTTCGAAATTCCGAATAAGGGGGCCTGTCGGGTCAATTCTTGCCCGACAGAATTTTGTGAGATATACATATTATTGAGTACCATCGGAGGAATACATTCATAGAAAAAACTTCCATCCACGTGTATTTTGAAAAAGTTATAATTTTTTTTTAAATTCCGAAAAGGGGGGCCTGTGGGGTTAATTCTTGCCCCACAAAATATTGTGAGATATACATATTGTTGAGTACCATTAGAGGAATACATTCATAGAAAAAAACTCCTATCCACGTGTATTTGAAAAAGGTATGATTTTTTTCGAAATTCCGAAAAAGGGGGCCTGTGGGGTAAATTCATGCCCGACAAAATATTGTGAGATAAACATATTATTGAATAATCTATGGTAAAAGGCCATGGTATCTCAAAGTGGAGTGAATAGATTCATAAACAAGACACACAAAGTCATCTCCACAAATTTATTGACTTAATAATCAGTATCTGTACATGTTTCGGACTATCAATAGTCCATCATCAGCAGCATATGTTAATTGACAATCTTCTACAAAGAAAGGTTTTTTATATAGTTACAAATGTTATGCTTAGGTTATGTGATGATGGACTATTGATAGTCCGAAACATGTACAGATACTGATTATTCAGTCAATAAATTTGTGGAGATGACTATGTGTGTCTTGTTTATGAACATATTATTGAGTACTATCAGAGGAACACATTGATAGAAAAAAACTCTTAATCCACGTGTATTTTGAAAAAGTTATGATTTTTTTTCGAATTTACGAAAAAGGGGGGCCTGTGGAGTTAGTTCTTGCCCGACAAAATATTGTGAGATATACATATGATTGAGTACAATGAGAGGAATACATTTATAGAAAAAAACTCTCATCCACGTGTATTTTGAAAAAGTTATGGATTTTTTTCGAAATTCCGAAAAAGGGGGCCTGTGGGGTTAATTCTTGCCCGACAAAATATTGTGAGATATACATATCATTGAGTACTATCAGAGGAACACATTTATAGAAGAAAACTCCCATCGACGTGTATTTTGAAAAAGTTATGAATTTTTTTCGAATTTCCGAAAAAGAGGGCCTGTGGGGTTAATTCTTGCCCGACAGAATATTGTGAGATATACATATCATTGAGTACCATCAGAGAGATACATTCATAGAAAAAAACTCCCATCCACGTGTATTTTGAAAAAGTTATGATTTTTTTTCGAATTTCCGAAAAAGGGAGCCTGAGGGGTTAATTCTTGCCCGAAAAAATATTGTGAGATATACATATTATCGAGTTCTACCAGAGGAACACATTCATAGGAAAAAATCCTCATCCACGTGTATTTTGAGAAAGTTATGATGTGTTTTAGAAATCTCGAAAAAGGGGGCCTGTGGGGTTAATTCTTGCTTGACAAGATATTGTGACTTATACATATCATTGAGTACCGTTAGAGGAATACATCCATAGAAAAAACTATCATCCACGTGTATTTTGAAAAAGTTATGAATTTTTTTCGAAATTCCGAAAAAGGGGGCCTGTGGGGTTAATTCTTGCCCGACAAAATATTGTGAGATATACATATTATTGAATACCATCAGAGGAATACATTCATAGAAAAAACCTTCCATCCACGTGTATTTTGAAAAAGTTATGATTTTTTTTCGAAATTCAGAAAAAGGGGACCTGTGGGGTTAATTCTTGCCCGACTAAATATTGTGAGAAATACATATTATTGAGTACCAACAGAGGAATACATTCATAAAAAAAACTCCCATCCACGTGTATTCTGAAAAAGTTATGAATTTTTTTCGAATTTCCGAAAAAGGGAGCCTGAGGGGTTAATTCTTGCCCGACAAAATATTGTGAGATATACATATTATCGAGTTCTACCAGAGGAATACATTCATAGGAAAAAATCCTCATCCACGTGTATTTTGAAAAAGTTGTGATGTGTTTTAGAAATCTCGAAGAAGGGGGCCTGTGGGGTTAATTCTTGCCCGACAAAATATTGATACAGATTATCATACACGCTCAGAGAGATTCATTGATGTAAAATAGTTTCATCCATGGACATATTTTGGAGGTAGAAGTAATTTCATGGCCAGCCATGAATATTAATTGATAATGAACGACCATTGGTGGTATGGCGCGCGCCTTGGATATTAGGCGAAGTCGTGGCTGGAACTCGTGGCTGGTTTCACACTGATATATGAGGATATGAAAATAGAAATCTTTTGAAATTCAGAATTTATATTCTCTTTCAGATCAGACATGTCGAATGAAATAGGAATATAACACCAATATATTCAATATTGAAATGAAAATTGAAATGCATGTCTTGAAGAAGTATAGGTCCTTGTACAAACTCAATCATGATGAGCTTCAAATTTCCAAAAAATCATTCGTATCTTTGATTTAGGATACACATTTCTCACAAATATAGGTTATACTCATACTTAATCACAACACCACCCGGTCTTCACGCTCACCTTTTATTATTGAAGATGCAAAAACTAAAATGATGGGGTTCTGTAATATAGTTCACATTTTTAGACATATTTACTTGGCCTGCCACACTTCCGGTTTGACCGGAAATGAGCCCAAATTTCGATTTTTAAACCGGAAACCCTCTATAATTTTAGTTATTTCGATAGAGAATGACATTCCTAATCAACAACACCCCACTTGTCAATGTTTGACAAATGAAGTAATTTTTATTTCAATTTTCATTTTTCGATCTAGAATGCCATCGATCGTGTAAATCGGTTCACTCTTGATCGAATAACATGAACAAAATATGAAATGAAGTCTTATGGCTTCACATTCGTATTCAATGATCATTCCGCAAGCCGCA